AACTTGGTAATTGTCAGCGATGGTTTTTGCTGAGCGACAAAAAGAGTGCTCTCGGAAAACTGTTCGCTTCTCCGAACAGATAATGTCCGCGGACAATAAATATCCCAGCATATTTTCGCGCCAAATGGAGGCTATTGTGTATATATCTGTTAAGCCGACTTCACTCAGTTTAGGCCAATCATGAAATTTGGCCGTACCCCGTTAATACGGGCACCTCGTTAATACGGCCAAACGTATTTACGGGGTTCCACTGTACGTGAGCGCGAATGGCACAAATTAAAGCAAACCGTTTTTGTCATGACAACAAGAGCGAGATAAGGTATTAACAAAAAGCGCTCGATATGCGAGCTCTCTTTCATTATTATTAGCTCTCTTATAAAATTTGACATTGCATTGCTATACAATTAGTTTCAGAATATCCTTCATGCTTGCCTATTCGACGCCTTTTCAAAAACAATGTGTTAAACGACAAAATTGGACCCAGTCTTTACATGGCTGCAAAGGTTCTTCACAATCACCAGTGAAAATGTCAAAACACGACCACGCTTTCCTTGACAAGTTTACTTTGTGTCAAGTCTTGTTTGCACTCATGAATGTTTACAGCACGTTTTCCCTTCGGGCAAGTTCTCTCTATAACAAATTGAACGCGCTAGCGTTTTATTACAATTAAATTTGTACTTCTCAAAGGAAATTTGATTCCTAAAGAAAGGAAAAAGTTCTCACCCGTTTGAACGAGAGCAGTACCCTATGTTTTGTCACGTGCATTACGAAGAGGAGATTCGAACAGAGCAATTGTTCTATCTGTTTACAAAAAGATCTTAATGGGCAGCTGGAATTATACAGCTAAACCACTTGTTTTCAAATTGATTGGAGGCGTATAGTCGGAACCAATCTGATCGCTTTCAATATTACAGATTCCCCTCACGGTATTGCAGTGAAACGTTTTCGTGATGAGACAGTAAGCTAAACAATATGACCAAACTTCCACTTTGAGCGAGGTGGAACAGTTATATTCAACAACAACTTCGGATTCACTGGTAAGTGCAATTTGCCTAAAATGAACTATGAAAGAGATTTTAAAACTCTTGCCAGTGCTAATTTTAATTAATATTTCAACACTTCAATCTCGCTATGGTTTTTGTTACGGTTAACTTCTTCGTCTGGGCAAGACTTAATGGAAGTGAGATACTGTATTGAGTTTTTGTCCGCTGGGATGCGGGAACAATAATCAGGGATAAAAGTTGATCCCTCTCCGTTTAAAGTTCATTATCGTCCCCGCAATAATTCTTAGACTAAGGAAAAGAAATTAGGGTGTGACGTTTGACCGGTGAGAACATAAAATGTTACTGAACCTAGAAAAGTGAAAAGAAACGTTTGAAATGTCCTGATAGTTCCAATATTTTATAATAAAGGCGGAGCTTGTTACGATGAGATAGTTCTGTTTTTCATTTGAGGCGATATTCAGTTCCAAAGATTGAGGTAATGACTAAAATAGTCCTAATTTCACACTCGCATGGAAGGTTTAAGCTCCTAAAAATAGTAACTAGCTTGCAGAACTTAGAAAGCCACTAAGAGATGCCAGTTTAATATTCAATTCAACGGTCGAATTTCGCAGAGTTTTGCTTTCATATCACTATCAATTTGCATGATAGCAGGTGTTACAAGAGGACTGCAATATTGAACAGAATAAACTAAATAAAACCACCACCACCCCCCGCCCCCGCCTGAATCAATAACGAACTAAAGCTAAACCCAAAACGAGCCATTTTTTCCGTCACTGAAATGGGGGAAGGGGTGGTCATAATTTTTCATTTAAATTGTCCAAGATTGTAACTTTGTGTAGGTTGAAGATGCAGAATCATTAATGTAAATACTTCAGTGCTGTTGGCATCCAAACTACATTGCCAAGCAGCGTGTTTACTTACTGCATCCCTGATTTTCAGTTTTATAACGTGAGGTACGCAAGCTCCAAATTAAAATTACATCTTATTAGTCCAAGTGAATATATATGTTGCATTTCTAGTTAAAAAGGAGCTAATGCAAAAGACTCAAAACTACATGTTATTTAAATAAGTGCATATTGAAACCGATATGTTGCTGCTTCTATGTCATCTAGTCGATCGTAAGATGAAGGCGGTTCACCGGCTAAATACTGTGATGTCTGTGATTAAAGCTTCAGATGCGATACAAGTTTGATGCATTGAGAGACGACCATCGTAATAAAAAGAAGAAAGTTTAATTTGTCTTTTGCTGATTGAAATCCGTGTAAATAGGAAGTGACTGTGAGAAATTAATTTAAGTTAGGCGGCGTTATCAGTTATTTTATTAGTTTTGCTCTCAAATTGACATTTTCAGACCATTCCTTGATGACAACATTGACTGCTGAATAAAATTAACAAATACTGTACTATTGTGCTATTTTTTTCCAAAGAGTTGTTTGTTACATATAATAATCGAAACATTTCTGTTGGGGCATCAAACGAAAATCTCGAGAAAAATCATTTGATTATTTAAGGGTGTTCGGTTGTAGTGGAAAAAGAAAGACTATTTTTGTTTCCCAGCGCGAAAAACTTTTAAAATAAATGGAACACGTATTGCTTCATTTGCACACCTTACCACAAGTACCAGGCCTTACGCCCATTTTAATACGTATACGAGGCCTGGGTACATAATTTGGTCCCAGGTCCTTTTACTAAACTGATCTGACAAACCAACATTTCGAAAAAATAAACATTACCACAAATGTTTGCCGGCATTCATTTCCAGTTCGCTCGAGAGCTTGCTTCTGTCTGCACCGGCCACTCCGTGTTTGCCTGATCTCAGGCTAGAAAGTTCCATTAACACATAACTTCTGCTCAGTTTTTGTTTTTAAAAATTAATGCTATGGAACCTCATTGACAATTCTGGCGGTAACAATTGTTCGTCGACAAACAGTCTACAGTACTATTTTCTACTGGAAATTAATTTGTAGCGGAAAGCTGTGTTTTCTTAACTTAACGTTATCTTTTTTCTCATTTTAGAAATTAACCTGAAAGTGCGTCTCGAAAAAGCACAACTATATTACTTAAACTGTCACATACGATTCACTCACTTTCAGAAAACAAAGGGTTT